TATACACTATCCAGGCTTGTTTGGTAAAGTGAACACTAAAGTAATGGACAGTGTTAAACAAAACAGGTTAAAATCTTAAGTACAATATTGTCCCAAAAGAATCCATAGCGCATACCAGACATGCCTTTCATTTTTAGGCAATCATCAGTACTTTCTTGTGTGGGTTTCTAAAAAGGTAGCAATAAAATAGAATTAAGGAACTATAACTAATAGCCAAATTACCTTGTGATGCGTGAAAAGGTCTTTCACATGAATCCCGGAGCAGTCGACCGTTCCTACAGACAAGAAAACAACAAATGCCTAAGCTGATAGCTTATCACATGCATCCAATGTACTAACCAATAAAGATTAAGTTGAAACTATAGACTTTTCAGGATTGTATTTAGCTTAAAAACCTGTGTATAGCGAGACAAATAGTAACAGAAAAAGAAGAAAAGAAGCCTTCATAGTAAGACTCATGGCTTTGTTTGTATTATATTCACTGATATTAATGATGTTTTTTAGTACTAGAAGGGTGAAGGGGGGAAAGGGCTGTTTATATAAGCAGAAATGCGTGTTAAAATTATTAGTTTAGTGCACCCCAGCCCCCCAATAGCTGATTCAATGATGACGATATGCATTACCTCTGAGCCACAAAACGGAAGTCAACTTTAGTATATGCATGTGTTTTACATCAAAAAAAAAAAAAAAGGAAAAAGAAATGGTTTGAGTGAATGGGGGTGGGGGACAGATGATGATTTTTTATTTTATTTTATTTTTTTGCATAGCTTAGAGTACAGTAATTTGAAGATTTTTTTTCTTTTGGTTTTCATTTTCATCTTTTTTTGTGAGTCAATCTATATTGGAAATAGTTGATGCTACATATCAATCAATAATGTACAACCATCAATTATCCTTGGTTGGGTAGTGTAAGTCATTTATTGGTTGTCTTCAACTTCTAACGAAGTCTTCCTTTTTTATTATTTTTGCTCCGTATTCTTGTCACTTCGTTTTTTGTCTTGAACATTAGAGTGTTGTCATCAGAGTATAGTTCGATATTTCTTATGATGATCTCTGACTTGCTGTGATAGAAAATATGTACTTAGCCCCCTTTTGGTCCCCATTATAATCTTAATGGGGAACAAACAGGAGCTTAGAGTCACGGGCGGAGGGAGGGGACTTTAGCCCAGGCCACTTAGTTTTTTGAGTAATGCTATTCATTATCATGATAATAGAACATTGGTGATGTGTCAATCAATTATTCCTCATATTTCTCTCTCTCATAAAAATTGAACTTTTTAATTACATTATTCCACATAAATTGTTACACCATCGATATTTCTATCATCATAATGATAAATAATGATGCTGCCAAAATTCGCACCTGAATAATCTTGAACTTGAGGACAAGGAATGAGCACAAACTGAATCCCATTGATGATTGTAAACAAATGGAATTGAATCTCCAGTTCCTGAAATAAAGGCGTCGAGGTGTCCTAGTCACTCCACTGATGCTTAAGTTAGAGAATTTATGCATAGGGCTATGAACTGCGAAAATTATGTAAAAGGGTACCGAATGATGTACCTTAATTCTGTATTTATAGAGATTGGTGGCTGGATCCTTTAAGGATTAAACCACTTGGAATCCCTATCCTTATCACATAAAGTGATTAAGTTTTACTAAAACTTCCTCTTGGAGTTTGACTTGGACTGTAAGATGTTTCATATTTAGATAAGGATGAATGTAGAGAATTTGAGTTATGAGAGGACTCAAACTTCTAAAAAGCACGAGATAAGGGCATGAAGAGTTTTATCACCAATATTAGGCTCGATCCTACCAAGACTCGACCACTAGGTTTTACCGGGAAGGACCTGCCCGACCACTCTTATGCGGAATTAGGGGTACGATTGTTCGGGGACAACAGCTCTGGCTATGCAAAGGCTCGAGATCAAGCCACGTCTTATGTACGCATCACATGTCCCCGTTCATCCAAATCGCAGCTTGTGAATAAGTGAACGGGCTTGTGAGATGAGGTGCAAAAAATTTTGACCAGCTCGAACGTGAGCACCGCCTTTGATCATGGTGTACAGGTAGGTGAGTGACAAGTGGATGCCACATGTAAGGTTGAGTACACGTTGTTGGATGGATACTACGTAGCTCGAGGCTAAAGGCTGGGATTTGATGACCTTTAGCCTTTCCTATAGGCCTATGAATATCTTATGTTCACCTTCATTTTTCACTTTTTACCTCCCAACTCTCTATAGAAAAACAGTTTGTCCTCGAGCTTTTAGTAGGTTTGTAGGTGATCGTTCTTTAAGGTAAGTGCTCGATACTTTAAGATTATTCTAATTTTAATAATCAAATGTCGAGCAGTAGTGAGAGTGGGAACGATTTCTCGGGGGGATCAAACTTGAGTAGTCGTAAGGATTTGATGTCGTCTCTTATCCCCATGGTCGAGCCTGTTAGTGCTCATCCTCGAGAAGAAGTGATCCATAGCTTTCCCAAGCTCCCCACCATTTATAAAGAACATAAAGTTATAAAGGTAGCTAGAAAGTATGGGGTGATGCCAAGGTGTGACATTAGAGCCCCCGGGATTTGCGATAGAGTGGTCGATGCTTGAGAAGGAGAGAAGAATTTTTTTAGGGATTCCCTAAAGTTAGGTATAAGGTGGCCCCATTTACCGGTTCTTTATCGAGTTTCTGGTCACATTTTATATGTGCCCGGGCCAGTTAGCCCAGAACGGGTGGAGGATAATATATTTTTTTATAGCGTGTAGATATTTAGGGATTAGGGCTAGGATCGACCTCCTTAAGATGGTGTATGAACTTAAAATAGCCCCAGGTTATAACTGCTTTGTATACATGTCATCCCGAAAAGGTTTTAGAGTGCCCAAAATGTCTATCTTTCTTCGGGGTTGGAAACAGCGTTTCTTTTTTGTCAAACCCCAGGACCTTGACCACCCTTTTAGCCCTAGGTGGGACATCCTGACACCGATCGATTTAATGAGGGCCATGACTATTTTGATATGTTAGAGAATCACAGAGTAAAGTTAGAGAATCTCGATCCGTTGGTGTATAAGCTCGAGCACATTCATGATGATGATATCCTCGACCTTGCCAATGTAAAAGAAATCAAGGATAAGGCTTTTTATTGTTCTTTCCTTTTTCTTTAAGAATGGCTGTATTTTCTCGAGCTAATAAGTAGTGATTTTTGCAGAATTTGAAATGAATTTTAATCCAGCCAATCTTCGAACCTCGATCTCAAGAAAGCCTCAAGGGAACAAACCTCGTCCTACTGCCTAGGTTAAGGGCAAGGGGAATAAAATGATAAGGGGCGCACCTCCAGTTGCCATTCCTCCGAGAAGTGGAGCGTAGCTCAGCCTAAATAACATTCCTCTCCCTTCGCTTCCCCAGCGTGTTCAATCATCAATACTTCGGGGATCTCCAGAGGTAGTAGATTTAGAGGAAGATATTGTGCAAGGAAGGTACAAAGACAACTCGCTGATCTCGAGCATTGTTGCCAAGTATTCGAAGGAGGTCGAGCTTGAAGAAGGGGTGGAGAATCTCGAGCTCCTGACACTTAAGGAATTATTTTTAATTTATTTTACCATTTTATTTTTTACTATGCCTCGATTAATGATAATATTCAAGGTTTATTTTCAGAGAGCGAGTCAAGAAAAATGTCAAAGCTTAAAGAAGCGGTAGATGGCTACAAGAGGCGTGCCAATGAGCTTTGTGAGGCTCGTGTTGATGCCATAAATGCTCTTGACAAGGCCAAGCCGATGAGGGATGAGGTCAAGAATGCAAAGCTCAAGCTTGTCTACGCAATGAAAAGTTTCGATAATCCCAACTACTACTTTATATAAATTTTCCTATCTTCTAGAAATAATGTAGGCATGTATGCCTTGACAAATTAAACTGTCTAAGAAAAGAAAAATGCATGGGGCATGCAAGCCCTACTAAAGATAAACTAGCTAAAAGTAAAAAAAAAAAAAATGTATTGGGGGCGTGCAAGTTCAATTAAAATTAAACTAGACTAAATAGCTAAATTAGCAAGGTAGGGCCAGCTATTTGTAATAAATTTTTAGATTATCTGCGTTCTAATGTCTTGGAAATGGTCTCCTCGATTTGTCTCTTAGGCTGTATGATACACTGTGGACTATGGAATTGTCGTATTATTTCGAAGGGTCCTTCTTACATTGGTCCTAACTTTCTTGGGGTATGAACCTTTTCAAAACTTAATCTCCCACCTTGAACCTTCTTGGCTTAACTCTGCAGTTAAAGTGTTTTACTGTGCTATTCTAGTACGACACTACTCTTATGGTAGCATGTTCACTGACTTTCTTCAATAGGTCGAGATGTTCAGTAGTATGTTCCTCTAACTCGGGGATGAGGCATCTCATGCTGGGTAGGCTTACTTCAACCGAGATTGTAGCTTCGATACCAAATGCTAGCATGAAAGGGGTCTCGCCTGTTACTGTCCTATGAGATGTCATGTAAGTACAAAGTATGGAAGGTAGTTCCTCAAGCCAAATATATCTGGCATCTCATATCCTTGTTTAGAAGTCTTGTAGTATGATTTGATTAATTACCTCAGCTAACCCATTGCTTTGTGGGAATGATACTGACATTAAGCAATGTTGTATCTCGAGGTTTGTACGAAAAGTTTTGAATTGAGAATTATCAAATTGTTGGTCGTTGTATTTTATCAATATCTTCAGTATGCCAAACCTGTAGATGATTGATTTCCAAGAGAATCCTCTGAGCTTGGGTTTTGAAATAATTGCTAGAGGCTCTGCCTTTATCCACTTTGTAAAGTACTCAACTGCTACAACAACAAACTTCCATTGGCCTTTTGTTAGGAGGAAAGGTCCAAGAATGTCTACACAACATTGTTCAAAGAGAGTAGTGTAATGAATATGAGTAAGATTTCAGCTATGAGTGGATGACATTGCCAAACCTCTGAAACTTATCACATTTTCTGACGTACTCTGCTGCATTTTTTTCATAGTAGGCCAATATTATCTGTACCTAATCAATTTGAAGGTAAGAGCTCGCGCTCTTTGGTGGTTCCCACATATCTCCTCATGGGCCTCAGTTAGGGCATAGGTTGATTTTGAAGTTCTAAGACATTTGAAATATGGAAGAGTGAGGCTCTTGTGAAATAGAACTCCCCTAATCATGCAATACCTTGGTGCTCTTGACCGAATACTTCTAGATGCTCGATTGTCTTCCAGCCATTCCTCGTTAGTTAGAAAGTTGACGACATGGTCCATCCAAGATGGTTCATGGTCAATATCCATGACATTTAGTTTCTGATTTATACTTGATTCTGTAACCATTTTTATGTGGATTGTCCTATCAAGGACATCGATTCACATGAAAACAAGCATGGACAAGGCATCGGGTTTGAAATTATTTGCTCAAGCTATCTTTACGATCTCACAATTTTGACGCTCATCTGTAGATCATGAACCTTCAGACAGTATAAGCTCATTTTTTCATCTTTCCTTTCAAAGGTGCCATCAATTTGGCCTACGACTAATTATGAATCATTGAAAATCTTGATATGTTCAAGTTCAAGGTTGTAAGCGAGTTCCAAAGTTATGACAACGGCTTCATATTCTACTTTGTTGTTAGTAGCTTCAAATTCGAACATAAGTGCACATTGAATCTCTACAACTTTATCAGGGCTGTTAAGTATAACCCGTGTACTCGATCTCGAGGAGTTTGATGCCCCATCTACAAAAAAAATTCATGTGTTATTGTTCGAGCTCGGGGTGAGTTCCCTCCCTTTGGTGGGAAGCCTTGGGGTAAGTTCAGCAATAAATTCGGCCAAGGCCTGTGCTTTGATTGAAGGTCTGAGTTTGAACTCTATGTCGAATTCACCAAGCTTTATTGCCCATTTAGTTATCTTCCTAACACATCTACTTTTGAAGTATGTGCCTTAATGGTTGATTTGTGAGCACAACAATGGGATGAACTGAAAGTACTATTGAAATTTCCTCGCAACTACAACTAATGCTATAGCAAGTTGTTCGACTAAAGCTCGTTAAGAAGTACTTTGCTCACATATTAGATCGGTTGCTAAATATAGTTGACCTCTTTCACTAATACTCTGCACACTGCATTTTCAGAAACTGCCAAATACTTACAAATGCCACCAGGCTCGAGTTTTGTAAGAACCGGGGGTATAGCCAATGTTTGCTTGAGTTCTTTGAAGGCTAACTCACATTCTTCATTCAAACCAAAGTTTTGGTTACCTCTTAAAGCTTTGAAAAATGGAAAGCACATGTCCGCGGCTCGCGATATGAACCTATTTAGAGCTGCAACACGACTTGTTAATTCTGTACGTCTTTCCTGCTTTTAGTTAACTCCATAGATGTTATGGCCTGTATTTTATCAAGGTTGGCCTCTATTCCTCTATGTGTGATCATGAAGCCCAAGAACTTACCTGATGCTACTTAAAATAGCATTTAGATGGACTTAGTTTCATTCGGTACTTTTGTATCGCAGTGAATACTTCCTCGAAGATCTGAGCGTCTACTTGTTTGCTTTTTACTACCATGTCATCTACAAAGGCCTCAATGTTCTTGTCAATCGGGTTAGCGAAGACCTTATTGATAAGCATTTGGTATGTTGCTCTTGCATTCTTTAGTCCAAATGATATGATCCTGTAACAATAGATGGCAGAATCAGCCATAAAAGACGTCCTTTCTTGATCTTCCTCAGCCTTGAGGATTCTGATGATAACCCGAAAACGCATCAAGAAAATTGTACAATTTATGGCCCGACATTCTGTCCACGAGGTTATCAATCCGCTGTAAGGGGTAGCTATCCTTAGGACATACTTTGTTGAGATTAGTGAAGTCGATGCACATACGTCACTTTTCATTAGCCTTTTTAACAAGAACATTAGTGAGCCATTCTGGATACTGAACTTTTCGAATGAATTGAGCTTTAACGAGCTTACTGATTTCTTCACGAATGATCTCCCGCCTCTTAAGTGCAAAATGTCATTTTTTTTAAACTTGTCTAGCTTCGAAATTAACATTGAGCTTGTGAATTACAATCTTAGGATCAATCAGAGGCATGTCTTCCACATTCCACGTGAAGGCATCATCGTAGCGTGAAAGACAACCAATGAGCTCGCCTCTGAGTGAAGCTTCAAGATCTTGACCAACTATCACCCTTTTCCCTGGCTCGAGCTCGACCTCTACTAACTCCTCCACTGGGGCAAGTCTCATATGGTGCTCGAGCTCGAGCTCAAGGGTTGACAACTACATGACATCATTGTTTATACCACGAACACTAGTGACTAGTACTATATGGTGACTGTTTGATCTCCACATACAACTCATATACTGTCACTTGTAGGGAATTTCATGGTAAGGTGAAAGGTGGATACAATATCTTTGATCTTATTTAACAGATATCTTCCAAGGATCGCATTGTAGGCCATGGGAACCCATACTACATGGGAGGCTATGATGTGCGTCACTTGTTCATGACCTGCTCCAAGGTTAAAGAAAGATCAACGAATCTTTCAGGAATGATGACTCATCCCTCGGATCCTTGGATGAGAGTTTTGACTTGCTTGAGCTACTCAACCGAAATCCCCATCTTGCTGCAGGCCACGTAAGATACTACATTAGTTGCACTCCCGTTATCCGCCAATACCTTCTTTACTTCAAAGTTGGCCACGTTAGCTGTTATGACCAATGCATCGTCATGAGGATATGACACGCCTTCTAAGTCCTTTGATCCAAACGTAATATCTTCCATGGCATCAAGGTTTGTTCTAGAAGCAAAGGTATATGGTCGAGCATATTGTTTGCAGCTGCTATTGGAGTCTCCCCTTGAGGCTATTTCTCCAATTATAATAATGATGGTTCTTGCTGTAGGTTGTTTTGAACCTCAACCTTCTAGGGCTTTCACTTTGTTTTGATCATTTTTAGGCCATTTGTCATGGCTTATGTAAGCACCCAGAAATTATCTTTTGATTAAATCTTCGATCTTCTACTGTAAGGCATAATAATTCTCTATCGTATGTCCATGATCCCGATGAAAATCACAGTACTTGTTCTTGTCTCGAGTTGCAGAATGATCCCACTTCCTGAGAGGCCATTTGAGCTCCTTACGATCATTGATTTTCATTAAAATGTTAGATATGGAAATATTGAGGAGGGTATATGATATTGGTTGCGTTTCCTGCTTGGAATTTCCCCAAATGATGTCTTGTTGGGGGTTTGACTCATTCTGTCTCTTTTGTTCGGGCTTATCTGGGGTCAGGCCACCTCTTTTTGGGCTCATGGTCTATTCCATGTTAATGCATTTTTCACCCTGACTTAACAAGTCATTCACCGTTTTAGGAGGAGTCTTTGACAAGGACATTTTGAATGTCTCGCATCTTACGGCATATGTTAATGCAGATACAATGGTTGTAATATATAGGTCAAGTATTTGGAGTCTCTCCTTATTAAATCTCGTCATGAAAATACAAAGCGTTTCGTTAGGCCCTTGACACATCAGCATGAGTGATGTGGTCGTCTTCCTGATACGCTCTCTGCTTGCAAAGAAAGCGGAGAATTTATCAGGAAATTCTAAAAAAGCAGCTATGGAGTCGGGTTCCAATGTAGAAAACCAATCTCTAGCTGCCTTTGTGAGGGTTTGAGGAAAGGCTTTGCACATTATTGCATCAAGTACAACCTGCAAGTTCATGATGTCTGTATATGTTTAGAAGATTGATAGGGTCAGTAGTTCAATCAAATTTCTTTAACCGAGGATATTTGAATTTATCTGGAAAAGGGTATGATAAGATCTCAAGGGTAAAATGAGTGTTAGGGGTGAACTCTGATGTTGCCTGAGCATTCTGAAGCATATCGGCTACAATTCTGTCTTGAGCGATTCTAGACGGTTTAGCAGAATCCATCGTAATTAGTCTCAAACCCGAGGTCACGTGAGGTATGCCCAAGGTTCTGACATCACCATTTCTAGGGATGGGACAGGGGCTCGAGCTCGAGCATCTGCCAAAAAACTACCCTGTGGTTGTGGTACTAGATGTGGATTTCTTTGAGTCAGTTAGCATGGCAACTTGTTGATGGGACTCCTCAAATGCTCCAGGAGCAATAACTGTTGATGGGGATGTTGGTTCTTCTGATGATTACTCCTGTGGAGCCGGAAGATCTTCAACGGAGGGCTAGTTTGGGGCGGATGAATTTGCTGGAAGGTATCCTGAACGAGTGGTATGACTTTTGGTAGCGTTTTCTATAGATGGAGCTAATGATGCTACCAAAATTCTCACCTGAATAATCTCGAACTTAAGGACAAAGAATGATCACGAACCTAATCCCCTTGATGACCGCAAACAGATGGAATTGAATTTTTGATTTCTGAAACAAAGGTACTGAGATGTGTCAGTGTCGTCCTTCTGATGCTTAAGTTAGAGAAAGAGAGAGAATTTATGCTTAGGGCTGTGGACTACGAAAATTATGCAAAAGTGTACATGAATGATGAACATTAATTCTGTATTTATAGAGGTTGGTGGTTGGATCATTTAAGGATTAAACCACTAAAACTACTTCTTGGAGTTTGACTTGGACTGTAAGATGTTGGTTATTAGATAAGGATGAATGTGGAGAGTTTGAATTATGGGAGGACTATAACTTCTAAGAGGCACGAGATAAGGGCATGAAGAGTTATATCACCAATATTAGACCCGACCACCAAGTCCGACCAGGAGGGGCATTAAACACTCTTATGCGGAATTGGAGGTATGACTGTTCGGGTACAGTAGCTCGGGCTATTTGAAGGCTCGGGATCAGGCCATATCTTCTATGCACATCAAATAACATTATTCTAGATTTTTTGGTTAAAAAGAAAATATTGTTTATTTTTTTCTATGTATATTCAATGGAAGTTGAGAATAATCGAAAAGAGTTGGAGATATAAAGAAAGAGACTTTTAACTAAGAACGATTTCATAATAAAATTAAAGATGACAAGAAAATTGGGCTTAAATAATTATTATGACCATATACATGTTGCCACAATCTTTTTTTGGAAGTGCTTCTAGGGGTGTTAGCACCGGGCCGATCAAGCAGTTCTTGGTTTGGCTTGACCCAGAAGAAATCTTAAGCCGGGCGTGGACCATCCCGGACCCCTCTATGAATAGCTCGGGCCACCTTGGACATTTCGCATTTGACACCCTTGAGTTAAAAGTTTGATTTGACAAAATCACAATCTTCTATTGGTTCTCAAGATACGAATTAGAACTAATCACATTAAAATATTTGATCTAGTAGCTCATGTTTTTATATAGGACCATGTGTATATCATTTAAATATTATTTTCAATCCATCTACTCACATGTAAGCGAAATTCATTTTTTTCAATAAATGAATGACAACAAGACTTGAATACATAGACTTTATCCCCTGCTCTGAAACTATATCAAACTATTTAATCTAAAAATTTAAGCTCTTAAACGATGCTACATATATCATTTAAACATTATCTTCAACATATCATATTTGTTAACCCTTGGAAATATATGTTCAAATTTTGACTTCTCAGTGGCACCAAACATCACCTTTAAACATGGTGCCTTTGATCCTAAAATTTAGGCATTGGTCAAATCAACGTGTAGGAGACACAAAAGGATATTAGTGGCCTACAAACGAGTGAACTTTTTTAGGGTTGAAATTTAGGAAAGGAAGCACTGCCAAAAAGACAGAAAACATTACAACTTTAAACTTACTTATATTGTATTAATTTACTTATAATCATCATTAAGACAATTCATGTGTTGCTAGAAACACCAAATGTTTGTAATGATGGTGATTTTTGGTGTTTTATGTGTGAGTAATTACTATGTTTTAATGTTGTCGGGAAAATATAAAAACAGCTTTCAATTGTTTATAAAAACAGCTTTCAATTGTTTTGGGATTGTGTCGTCACAGACAAAATTTTAATTTTTTTCTTTCTTTCTTTCTTCATCTTGCTTAGAATTTTTCGATTGAACTAAATGAAGATGGGCTGTCGAGAAATTCAAAATGATGCACTAATAATATTAGACGTGTACTGAAATCTGTAGAGTCTGTGGCCTTTTTTCAATCCTAAAGTTTTCTACCTAAATAGGGGCTCGAATCCAGTCACATTGACTTGAGAAGATTTCGCTTAAAATTAAATGCTCAGTAGTGCTTCATTTCCATCTAAAGCAACAGACCCTCCGTCACTTTGGAAAATTATTGTTTCTATTTATGTATTTTTCATGCTATTTTTCAATAGGAACACTAAATATTGTTCATATCAACCTTAACCACATTGGAAATGACTTTTAGAGACTCCTCTACCTATTTCGTGTGAGTAAATCCCAAAACAACGTTTCCAACAAGAGTATGGGCAACACAAATTGTTGAACGCCAATATACCTTGAAGCAAGGAAAGAAGAAGCTAAATCATCATGGGCTTTGCTACAAGTACAGGGCATTTTCACAGGAGTGATAGGTGGGTAATTTCACAAGCTACTCACATGCAGGGGTGGGTGCATTTTTTTTCCATTTTTTATACATGCGTGGGGCTTGGGGCCCACACTTGTGAGGGGTGGTAAACCACCTGTAAAACTATCCCTGTACTTGGGGATTTATTAGGCTGATGGCCAGCCCAAACCCCCTAAATCCATCTGGGGAGATAGACTTCAATTTTCAACCCCCATATTGTCTAGTATTGTCCAAAAGACCATTCCGAGTAGTGTTTAGTATTGGTCTACGTAGCATAATAATGATAGATTTCATTAAATGAGTTTCATATTTTTATATTTAATTGTACTTCTTGGAGTCCATGTAAAACAAACTATTTCTGCCATATCGTTGGTTGTGCTTTTTGATCGTGCCCAACTGATCCAGACCTATCATATATAATGTATTGTCACGTAGATTAATACTAAACACTACTTGTGCTACATATATAGTATTATTCTTCCAACTATGTCGCAAATTGTTGCATACATTGAACGGCCTTGAGTTCTTTAGCTTTCAACATTCAAGTCATACAAACTAAATGGAAGTAATTATTACACATTCAATTCATTCTCATTTTTTTTTCTCTTTCTTCATTTCAATCACACATTCTCCAAATAAAATAATATTACACACAAATCTAAAAATTTTCATTACTTTTCAATCGCACATTTTTCCATCAATCACTATTCCAAAATTCATTTTTTCCCCAAAACGGGTGTCAAACACAAGCTAAAATCTATATGCAGTCGAATCGTTCGACGCTAATTATTGAAATTTATACACTAAGATACAAGTCAATGCAATATGGGACCTTTAGTGGAGAAGACAACCAAGTTAGAAAGGGCAGTGATATGTGCACTAAACAGTTGTTGAAGGCACTAAGCTACTGATGGAAGTGGTGCATGCTGTTCTATTAGAATGCTGAGTACAAATTTTACTTGTCACGTTTGAAGTGATTGCCAGTCTTCAATTATTTGGACTACATTCTTCGAGTAGGGAAATGGGATATGTAATGACCAAGAAAGTGGTTTTCGTTGTGTGCACATTTTATGATGTGAGTCTCCTCCGACCAAAACTAAATATTAATGGTTTGACAATTTTACACCCGGCATTCAATGCCGATTGTTGGTGAACGTATATTAATAGACTTAGGGCCATTTGATATGACTTAAAAAGTCAAAAGGGGTTTTTGAGACTCAAAAGTTACTTTTAGGTCCGTTTGACAAAGTGCTTCTGATACTCAAAATAGTTTTTACATGAAGTTGGTTCAATATGACTTCTCATAAAAGCACTTCCGAAATATGAAGTGTTTTTAAAAATTAGTTTCTAAATAAAAATTAATGTAACTTCCTAAAAAAACTCTTCTACATGAAGCAAAATTAAAATTAAAAGCTATGTCAAACGGGCACTTACCTAAGGATCCATTTGACATGATTTTTTAAAAGTCAAAATGAGCTTTTGTTATCTAAAAAATTACTTTTGAACCCATTTTGTTAATTTTATAAAAATGTTTTTGCCTATGCTTGAGCCCCATTTTTGGGAGAAAATAGATTTTTTAATAATGATTTTTTTTTTAAGAATGTGTTACTAAAATAAGGAAATGTTTTTTGTTTACATGTAGAAATCTTTTATTGAGAAAATGCGTAGTTAAAAATAAGTTTAAGAAACAATGAGGGCCCGTTTTAATCTATGTTTCAATTTTAAATTTTAAATTCATTTTCAGTTTTCTTTTTGTGGATCTATTTTAAGATTGTTAAAAATTCTTATTTTTCAAAATGACAAACTAGAAAAACACGTTTGGTTTGAAATTTTAAAAAATTATTTTATGATATTTTATTCAACGAAATTTGTTATTTGGTAAAAATAAAACAATTTTATGTTAATATATTATAATATAATATATACATTTTATTGGTCGTGAATCTTACAATATTATTTTTCGCTACAAAAGTAAAATTAGAAATAAAAACGAGAATTAGTAATGTGAGTTGAGAATATTTTTATCTTTGTTCACTTCAAGTACATTTTTAAAATTTTTACGTAAATAATTATTAAGAACTTGAATTATTCTTATTATGAATTTTGAATTTTTTATAATTTCAATTTTTAAAAAATATATAATTTTTTTTAAATTAATTTTAAAATTTGTTTTGTTGATTTTTAATTTTCAAAATTTATTTGTTGCCGAAAAAATACGTTTTGAATTTTATATTACAAATTTATCCTTATTTTTGAAAAAATACATATTCACAAATATCAGACCAAACATATTTTCAATATTTTGCAAAATTAAATTTTGATAATAGCCTGAAAATTGCAAACCAAACACACCCTAAACTTTTCCACTTTAAACAGGGACTTAATTTCCAAATACTTATTATAGCATTTCAAAAAACTCATAACAAGATGCAGAACCAAAAGCAGAATACCTACCAAACGGGGGCCCTAACCACATGAAAGATTAATGAGCAACAAATGTTTTTTTCTATCATATGGTCAAAATATAACTTTCATCAACAAATGTATATTTCAATTTTTTACCCTCGAAAACACAAATAATTTTAACTTGGCCAAACATGCTATATAGACAATTTGTATCATTTTCATACCTCGATATCCATTCATCATGCAGCATATGTAATAAGAAACATACATTTGAGAATACAAAATAAACGAAATCATATACATCCATTGAAAGCTGAAAAATGTGAGGCAAAACTACACAAAAACACTGCCTTTGGGCAACAATTGACATTCTTCAATATCCTATTTTCAATCCTTCCAATGTCACCGCAGTTCATGACATTCCGTTTTTTTTATCCCAAAAGATCGAAAACAAAAAGAAAATACATCCAAAACCGCAAGATTGAAGGGGAAAAAACGAAAACAATACTTCTACATAAAGAAAAAGAGATGTATACGTTTTCACAAATGCATGTATTTTGACCCTTGACCTGTGAAATGCCTTGACTGAAAAGTTTTGAAGAAAAAATGATGTGATTGAAATGCTAACCTGACCACCCACCCAACCCATAATGAAATGCATAACCCACCCACCCACCCACCCGGCCCACTAAACCCCGACCTAGACCCCCCAAATATAGCATGATGAATGAAATGAATGAGATTGAAAGCAACCCGACTCCAACAACAAATGTATGACCAATGCAAAAGACTGACCAGAAAACATATTTTTAAAAAAATGATTTTTGATGAGAAAGAAAAATTAAAAATTAGGGAAGAAAAACGGTGGTGGGTAGGTAGGTTGGCTGGCTCAAGGTATCATGCAAACTAAAACTCTGGGGGCTTATCTTGTTCTCGATCAAGAATGGCATGGAGATTAGCTTGTTCTGATCACCGGGAGAGACCACCAAGGAAGCACAAAGCACAAGCATGCAATGCAGACTGATTTGTTCATTGAGCACCGCAACAACTATCTTTCCCTCCCGACTCGATCTCAAAAATTGAATTCTACTTCTCAAGTTGTTTAAATTACTGAGAAGCCACCGCCACCGCCACCAACTCCTTCCCATGGAAAAATAAATGAACCCGAGATTTTGTTTCTCAGGCCCTTCAGCCACCGTGATCCCGATCCCATGATGCTGATGCATGAGTTAGTGACGTTATAAAGATAAAATGCTTCTGTAGTCAGAGAAAGTCAATGACCAGACTCGAATGCAATTCTGGTCCCGACCTGAACCGACTCGACACGACCATATGCATGCAGGTTAGAAAATATGTACTCCATGGGCACGACCTCAAACAGAAACAGCACGACTAATGGCCAACCTGGCCCACTCGGCAGATTCCTTAATCAAATGGTCATCTGAAGACAAGCATTCATTTAAAAAGTCTTTGCTTGACACAGATTGCTGAATCAAAGAACCTGCACTGCTTCCCAGAGTATCCGCTAAATCGCCCAGGACACCTATAGCAGTTTTCATCACAACATCATCCCTGCGATAATATAGATTGAACAGTCAGATGATAAATATACGGAAGACAGCACAATGAAGCATAAATGCAATTAAAAAATAAAGGGTACACTTACATATCTTTCTCCATGTAAATGCTGTCTAGGAATTGAAGGATATGTGGTGCATACGGGATCAGAAGCTGAGTCTTAGGAGAGTTCTTGAAGCCCTGGAATATTCCAGAATAAGCCTCCAAAATTCCATTCCTAAGAAGATTAGTATATTCTATCATTTCATCATCAGCACCTGATGTGTGAGCAGACAATTCCGCAGCACTCTGGAGCATGGGCATTGCGTATATTAGGTACTTCTCAAAATTCTCTCCAATAGCCAGTGCTATGTCCCCTAAGCATGAAAAGATTGGGGGCTTTACGGATCGGTGAAGCTGGTTACTAGACAAGTCTTTGAGGAGCTGGGTCATTATCCCGTCACAGTAAGGCAGAATCTTACCCTCCAATGCCCTGCAGATATCACCCACGACACCAACTGTTACAGCACAAACTTCATACTCTTCGAAATTCTGTAGACCCATCTCCAAGTACTTGTAAAATTCAGGCATGTATATTGCAAAGTTGAGGCCTGTTGCATAGGCAAATGCACCAATAGCAAGCATTGCTTCCTCATGGACAGTGGCACTTCTACAAGCAAAAACCCTGAGAAAAAGGTTCATCATCTGATCTCCATACTGCATGAAGGCATACTTAGTGGCATTTGAAGCCCCTAGTTTCTGAATAATGACCTGTAAGCACCCACAGAGAAGGCCTTGTAATTCGTTCTGCTTCTCTCGCTCATCAGACGAGAGTTTTTGTGCCTCGAGAGTCTTGTGAAGTTCTGCCATGATGACTTGAACAAGCTCCGACACTAACCGGGCAGTTTCCTCAGTTGAGCACCTTACCACTTCGTTGAGTGTCTCGTATGCAGCAGTCCGAAGTCGTGACTCCCCAGCATCTTCTCTATGAGTGACGTTAAGGAGCGACTGAACAATTTCTTGGAAATAAGGCGTCAAAGCAGATGATGATCCCAAGTCCTCATAACCTTGTGCGAGAAAATAGAGAGCACCACAGGCTTTCTCAGCAACATTTGGAACATCTTTCATGCTCTGGAGCAGAACTGAAATAATCTGTTGGCAGTTTGCTGGAGTAATAATGGGTGTTTCCACACTTGAACCATGGAGAAATTCAAATATTCTCCCCAAGGTCCATGCAGTTGTGTCCTTCACATGGCTACTTGGGTCATTGGTCAAGGCCGTGAGCATGAAATTTAGAGCAACATTGACAATAGGGGTTAACTTATCGGGCGAAGGACCTTCCAATATGGAACCAAATGCATATGTGGAAGCCTCTCTCTGCCTCCAATCAGGTTTTGTTATATTCTCTTCAATAAATGGCATGACAAGCGGCACAATATCATCGCCCACTGTACGGGCAACCAGACCAAGGCAAGTTCCACCAGCCATGGCAAGATTCCAAGCTCCTTCATCCTGATCCTGATCTTCTTCTTGCTTGAGAAGAGTCTCCAACAGCATAGGAACAAGTGCCGGGAGAGCTTGTTTGATAAAATAATAGCACGGAACATCAGAATCTGCAGTAAATTCACCTCCATACTCTTCCAAAATATCAATCTCCTCGTCACAAATTGAGCTCCAAAACTCAATGGCCTGAAGAGCCACTGGTTCCTCTTCTTCTCTGACAGCCTTCGATGTGATGTTGAAAATGTCTTGGATGTATGGTGATAATTTCTCATAATATGTTGACCCAATCGAGACCAAACACTCAAAAGCAGCCAGGCGAATTTTCACCTCTGGGGAGAGAGTGGCCTCGCAAACAACTCTCATTATGTAATCACGTTCCATATCATTGGAAAAGTTTGCCTGTGCAAAGCCAAGAGCATTATACAAAGCTCGGGTGGCAGCAAGCCTGACCTCATTGTTAGCTTCATTCGCATTCATGCCTTGTACCACAGCTGTAAGTATCTTATTTACGTGATCTTGATCAACAACATCTGGAACAACTTCTTCACACAGATACCCCAAAGTTTCAAGGGTAGCTTGCTTTATATGAGGTGGGACCTGATGAATATTTGACAAGAGGGATCCTACCAGCTCTGGCCACTGTTTCTGTGGCAGCTCAATACCTGCAACTTTTGCAATGACTTGTGAAGCAGTTGATCGAGCATCAGGTACCAGAGAGGAGAGGGTTTGTAACAAGCATGCCTTGATTTGGCCCTTCACAGCCACATCTAATGATAACCATCTTTGAACAAGCTCATACTTTCTGTGTTGTTCCTTAGCATCCAAAGCATTTTTGAGAATCAAACCTGCCAGTTTACGACTTTCAATTGGCTTTTCTTCGCTAGCAAGCTCTCCAGAAAGGGATATCAGAAAACCAGGAAGATTTTGCTCCTGAAACTGTTTCAAAGTATCTTCAGCATGTTTCCGTACGGTTGCATCTACAGCTTGTGCACTTAGAAGAACCTGGGTAACTAGGTAACGGTAAAAGATGGACAGTTTACCATAAGAAATAGGCATTTACATCAAAACTCAGAACTGAATGCATCTCAAATGCTGAAGAAAGAAATAACTCCCTGAGAAGTGAGAAGCAATGATCAATGTACAAAACTTCAATGAGAAATTCAATGTCACACCAAAAATATAAAAAGGGGGGGTAAGATTGAGGAATTTTATATTTTCTATAAGAGTCCCAGGCAAATAAAAACGAAAAGAATAATTGAACAGGATATCATGTGATACTAAGACAGAATACTGAATGCAAGGCCATAAAACAAGCCAAACACCGATAACATTTTCCCGTCTAACATCCAAACGATAAGAAAAATAAGTGCCACATTCAATATTCCCTCTTTCCATTCAGTTAGCATGCGACAAAAACAGAAAGAGCACAATTTTCTAGTTTGAGAAAGGGCTAACTGAACAACTGCCACTCTTATGCTCATTTAAATTGACAAAGTCCAGAACTTTCCCACATAAATGGGCAAACATGAGTTATAACGATTTTATATTGTTGACCTAGTGGAGTATAGGTACATTGGTTTTCAACACCAAACGTAAAGATACAAATGAATAAAACAAA